GTTAGCTTTAATTTTGCCTGTTGCTACAGTTATGATAGAAAGGGCTTTTTCGATTATGAATATAGTAAAAAATCGGTTACGAAATAGAATGGGGGACACTTGGATGAATGATTGTTTAGTTACTTACACTAAAAAAAATATATTTCGTAAAGTTCAAAATGAGAAGGTTATAAACCGTTATCAAAATACGAAAACTAGTCCTGAACAATTGTAAATGGTTTAATTTACTTTTTGAAATAAAATTATTATTACATTAATAATTTTGAGTTTGTCTTTCATGTTTTTTATGGAATATATACATCATTTGTACTTGTTGATGAATTTTTTTTTTCTTAAAAAATTATAAAAGAAAGTAGGTAAAAAACTTAGATTTACTTTTGCCTCCACCGACAAATTTTTTTGGCTCTGATTAGTATGTTACATGTGCATTTTGGTTTGTCTTATAAGGTGCATATTTGTTGTTCCTATAAGGCTATAACCAGGATTAGCAGACTAGAATTGTTCCGTAAGTAAATTGATGGCAACTATAAGGTTGCTTTGAGATTGAGTTCTATGTTTTCTTTGACGTGCCTGGACCTATAACCAATATGCTTGATGCCCCTTGTTAAGGTCAAAGCAACTCCATCGTTTTTCCAAGGCACAGGTCAGCCTCGTAGAAAGCAAATGAGCAAGGTCTTGGTCGAAGTATAATTTTCCGGCCGTCCTTCGATTAACTCCTGCGTGTGAATTATTTATCGATTTCGATAAAAAAAAAGGATAGGCAGTAGGCAGACTTTTGTTTCCAACCACTGTGAAAGTGATAGTGGTCTATATAGGATGATGGGCTCTGTGAGACAAGTCAGCCCTAGTTTTTTGTTACTTTTTTTTTGTTTTTTGTTTTTGCCTTCTTCTCCTTCTAGAAGTGGGATGAGATTTAAAAAATAAGAAAGAAAAATGAAACTCAGGATAATGTTAATTTTAATTACTAGATCATGACTTTCGCCATGGATTGGACTGATGGACACCTGGACCAGCTCTAGCTATCGATATCATAGACAAGCTTGACCGAAATGATGATGACCGGATATAGAGATGGTTGTGCCGGCGCATGAATAAATGTGGCGGGTGAATACAAAGTACAAAATTGCTGATTTCTACGGAAAAATAAACGCCGAGGATGTTACTTATGGGCTGTGAAAGTGATAGTGGTCTGTGGTCTATATAGGATGATGGGCTCTGTGAGACAAGTCAGCCCTAGTTTTTTGTTACTTTTTTTTTTGTTTTTGCCTTCTTCTCCTTCTAGAAGTGGGATGAAATTTAAAAAATAAAAAAAAAATGAAACTCAGGATCTAAATGTTAATTTTAATTACTAGATCATGACTTTCGCCATGGATTGGACTGATAGACACCTAGATAGGGGTGTACGCGAGCCAAGCTACTCGCGAGCTACTCGCGAGTAGCTTGGTCAACGACTTGGCTTGAATTCGGGTTGACCGAGTTTGAGCCGAGTTTCGAGTAGCTCGAATGAAAATCGAGTCGAGTTTCGAGTCAAAAATCCCCGGCTCGAGGCTCGTCGAGCTACTCGTCGAGCCGGGGTTATTTAAATAATATATTTATAAGTTAAATAATATATATGTATTATAATTATAAAATGATCATTATGAGTATAAGTTATATGGAATTTACAAAATACCCTTCGTTATCGAGCCTTATCGAGTCGAGTTTCGAGCTTAGAGCGAGTACATCGAGTCGAGTTTCGAGTATCAATTTTTTTGACTCGATCGAGCTCGAGCCGAGCTCGAGCTTAGAGATATATGAGTCGAATCGAGCTCGAGTATAGCACTACTCGAGCTCGACTCGGCTCGATTACATCTCTACACCTAGACCAGCTCTAGCTATCGGTATCATAGACAAGCTTGACCGAAATGATGATGACCGGATACATAGATGGTTATGCCGGCGCATGAATAAATGCGGCGGGTGAATACAAAGTACAAAATTGCTTATTTCTACGGAAAAATAAACGCCGAGGATGTTACTTATGGGCTGGAATTACTTTAGCCTTTTTCTTCCTTCATTTTAATGCGATACATGTGAGATGTAAAAAAAAAAAATGATTGAAGATACAAAAAGGGTATAGAAAAACGTGAACAGACATTTTCAATAAATGTTTTACTGAATAACTCCTATATAAACAAATCCATGTGTAAGATTAATATATGTTATGTTTGGATAGTGGGTTATTTTTTCAAATATATTTGCTTACATCACTATTACAATTTTTAATACAGTTTTTTTTATCTTCCCAATTACCTTTTTATCTCACATACATCATATCACAAAAAGTGCTACAGTAAAAATATCTCAAATAATCCACTATCCAAACACGCGTATAATTATTATGATTTGTGTTACATTAAATTGCATCTTGATAAATTCAAATCTGATCCATCACAACCAACAATACTCGATAGGGAGATAATCAGGGGCACGTCAATGTGCTTAAAGTATCAGGTCTTGCGACATGGAATACGAATACAGCTGTAAGTAAACTCTAATCTGTTTAAGATCCTCGCGAAACAGAGCATTACTAAATATCTCAGCAAAATAGACAACTTAACAGAATCCCAAATTACCTATTAAATGACATTTTGCTTTATATTCATTAGGTTGATTTATGGCTGCTTTTCGCAGTGATGCAATATTCATTAGTCTTTTCCACTTCAAAAGTTTCGAGTCATTTCAGCCAATACGACTGCTACTATATGCAGCCAATACGAAGAAATTGGACAATCGAATAAAGAAGAAGAAACGGACGCAAGAGACTTTTATCTTGTAAGATTGTGGAATTGGGAACCTTGCTTTCCCTTTTTCTAATTCATCCTCACTTTATATATATATATATATATATATATATATATATATATATATATATATTTCCATAGGATAAACGTGGTAAAACTCCGTCCACAGACATCACCTCACCCCCTCCCCCGGGGCCCAACAAAAAAAAGGAAAAAAATAAAAGTGGGAAGAAAGGTATCAGACCCTTGGCTTCAAGTGGTGGCTGAGAGGTGTTTGGCAGAACTCGGATTCTCCCTCAATCATGCCCGCACTCATTAGTTTTTATAAATTTTAACCGGACTTTTATTTCCCCATTTTTAAGTTTTTCGAAGCGTACGGAAGTCATTTGCCCCACTTTAAAACGAATTTACTATTTTTATGTATATATATTTTATTATTCGAAACATGCCCCAAAACTCGAATTTTTAGGATCCGATTCGGCACATCAAATTGGAGGAGTGCACTACAGTTTCATATAGTGATTCCGGACGAGTTACACAGGGATTTAAATCCAAAGTAAGATTCAAACCCAAAATCTCGAGAATAGTTAAAAGTCTGCTTACCGCTGGATCACTCGAGGGCTATATATATATATATATATATATTCCCCTGCCTTGGAGCGTACAGGAAGAGATGTCTTCCTAAATTACCTACAATAGACAGAAAAGTGTTCCATAATCTAAAGATGAGTTAATTTTGCACGACACACAATATATCTGTTTCATAAACATTCATTGTTGATGCGCGTCCTTGGATTCGTAAAATCTATGGTGGCCCGGCCCCAGCCAAAAAGATTGACTAAACAATAATAATTTTAGTAGAGTCTCGCACCAAAAATTAACGCGTATTTTTTTATAAACCTTTTCTGAGGAACCGAAAAATAGACAGCGTATCTGTTTATATACATCAATCATGTTGAGTTCATCTCCACCCACAAAAAAAAAAAAAAAAGAAAAAGAAATCATCTCTCCCACTTTATAATTAAGTATATAAGCTGCATAAAAATATCTTCCCACAAAATCGTATCCCTTCACTTAGGCACCCTTTTGGATTGAGGGAATCAGCGGAAATGAAATGGGAAAGAATCTAAGATATTTGATTTTCTTTTTATTTGGATTTATTTTTTTACTAGAGAAAGGAAATAAAAGAGAGTGAAATGATCTAATCATTTCGTTAAACTGTGATTTACGTCCAACACCGGAAAGAAAGTGAATCAAATTTCATAAAATAATTATTTTTTTTGAAAAAAAATAAAATTTTTTCATATCTTTCTCAATCCAAACAAAATTTTAGTATTTTCTTTCTTTTTCTTTCATATTTAATCTAAACAAAATAGATAAAAACTACTTTCCTCTATTCTTGTTTAATTTTTTTTTATTGGTCCCCCCCCCCCTTCCTTTTCCTTCAATCCAAACAATGCCTTAGGTGCAAAGAAGTTCGTTAAAAAAAAAAAAAAAAATTTCCTTTCATCCTACTTTGAAACTTTTTTTTTTTTTCAACACAATTTACGAAAAATTAATTAATTTTATTAGAAGAACAAATCTAACATACTATTTTTTCTAAAATACCCTTACATTAGCATTAATAGTATAATTAACCATTACTCTTTCCATCCACTTTGATAATCTTATATATTTTTTTATTCATCCCAAATTATAGTCAAACTTTCAATTAAATAATATATTTAATTTTTAAATTTTTTAAAATACTCTTATTTAACATACAGCAAATATAGTTAACCTGTCTTGAATAGTGGAACATATCATTATTATTTTTATTGTAATTACTGCAAAAGTATGATGATTAGTGATTATCCTGATATTAATGTATCTTAGGAAAGCATTAAGCTAGATTTACTTTTTCAAAGTCAGATAGTTTTTCTTAAACTATGCAAGAAAAAATCAATAAGTATATTTTTATATTAATTTCAACAATAATATTGATGAGTAAAGCAATTAAAGAATAAGACTGATTATATTCACGAAAAGGAAGTACATTAAATAAGAGTATTTAAAGAAATTAAAAATTAATTATATTTTAAACTGAAAATTAGATTATAATGTGGGCCAGTTGAAAAAGGGCGTTGAAAGATGGGACGGACGGAGCATTAGTCAAATTGATATGCCCCCTTAGTAATCTTGCTACCGACTCTTACCACCGTGTCAGTGTGGCTGGGAATAACGAACCGACTGAAAGAAAATTCAACAGAGCAGCCATCCGGTACAATTGCTCCCTTCAACCGATCATTCCCAGATTCCCACTTGGCAGAATCAAACCGTCCACCGCCTGACCCGACTTCGCCAATTGACGGCTAGCAATGTGTCGGCGGTGGGTCCAATTGCTGCTCCCGATCCCGATACGTGTGCGATGAGAGATTTTTGTCACTGACACGCAATAATTGCTCCCCACGATATCCACAGCCCAGCGACTTTTATGGAGGTGGGACTGCGCGTCCATGCGTCTCTCTCTCAGTGTCGTAGCTTTCTCTCTTAGAACTCTCCAATTGATGGTTGTCCCTGCATTTGATGGAGGCCCTTTAAATAGGAACACGCCTGCACACACTCTAGGTGTGTGTGGTTGTGCGTGTGGTCTTTTTCTTTTTCGTGGTAACGAACTAAATATAGGATTGCAATAATAAATAAATAGCAATCAATAAAGTTTGAATCTTCCTTTTTTTAAAAAAAAAATTTGTGCGTTCTTTTCAGCGACAAAAGGGGAAGGAAGAGGGAGGGCTGGCCCTTGGGGAAGTCGTAATCCAAGAGGAGGAGAGCTTGTCATTGCTCTTGGGTACACAAGGAGAAGACTTGTGCACTCAAGAGGAGGGGGGTGAATTTGTTGGAATGGAGCACCAAGACGATGTTCTTGGTGCTGGCCCTCCTAAGAAGGTGCTCTCCGATGATCATTTGGCCGTTGAAATCCCTGAGACTGCCCATCAAATCAGCCAGGGTATGATTGGCTTCTGCATTTCCGTCTTCCTATGATAATTTTGTTTCTTGTACATCGACTTGTATTACGTTTACTGCTTTTCTTGAAAGAGTGCTTTATGCGGGTTGGATGAATTAAGACTTGGTTTTCTCAAGGGAAGAATGTAGTCTCCAGTTTATTATGTTAAGAATGAACAGGATATGGTGCAAGAATGGAACTTTATAGCATGTTATAGAATCTTTATTAAGATTTTGTTTCTCCCTGACTCTTTGTTGCACGATACATATGAAAGGTATTGTTTGCAGGGATTTTTTCTGATTGAAGTTCTCTTTAGGATATTACTTTCATTAATGGTGGGATTATATGATCAGCAAAATGATTGACCTCCTTTTTGCATGCTATTTTTTCTGTTGAAATTGTTTGCAGGGATTTTTTCTGATTGAGGTTCTCTTTAGGATATAACTTCCATTGATGTGAGATTATATGATCAGCAAAACGATTGACCTCCTTGTTGCATGATATTTTTTCTGTTGAATCTTTTGAAGCTCTAAATCGAATGATTTATGCATCCATGTTTTCCCCTTTCGACTCTAGTTTTGGAGATAAAATCATCTTTCAAACGATTCTTTCATAGGATTAATCTCTCGTCTCCTAAAGTTACGTGCCCATCTGTTTTCTATATGATATCAGGAAGAGCACTGGTTTTTTTGGCTGGTTTGTAGGATTTTGTATGTCTCTTTATCATAACATGGTTGTTTTTGAGTTTGAATTAGCCAAAGTTTACCCTTCTTCAAATGCAGATTCATGGTTTCAGGTGGGGTTTGTCCTCACGACTGGAATAAACAGCGCTTATGTGCTGGGATATTCTGGTACAGTCATGCTTCCTTTAGGTTGGCTGGGTGGTGTACTAGGGTTGATTTTAGCAACTGCTATTTCGCTTTATGCAAATGCTCTTGTTGCCAAGCTCCACGAATTTGGAGGAAAGAGGCATATCAGATACAGAGACCTAGCAAGAGCTATATATGGTATGAGTATATGGACAAAACATAGTGCCATATTAATCAAGACCTTTCTATTCACCTTGTTTCCTTCTGTGCAGGTCAGAAAGCTTATTCGCTCACTTGGGGATTGCAATATGTGAATCTTTTCATGATCAATGTTGGATATATCATTTTGGCTGGCCAGGCTCTGAAGGTAAAATTGTTATGGTATTTTTTTCTTGTCTGACTTATTGCTGAGCTTCTTAGGTGTACATCATTCGAGAACCTGCGTAGCTACCTCTTGGCAATACAAAGGCAAAACAGGGCCGAAACCGTAATTTTTTCTCTTCACAAAAAGAAACACCCTCTAGGGACGTTAAATTAGCAGTATGGCTGCTTTTGATTTGATTTCTTACTATTGATTATTAGTAGTGCATAAAGTACCCATGTTCGACCAGACAAATATTAGTTCTGCTGGAAAAGTTCAATTTATGAATACTTTCTGCAATCTATAATATACAAAGACTATCCTCTGAAGGTTTCATCTAAGCACATGTCTCTTCATACTTCTGCAGGCTGTGTATGTTCTTTACTCAGATGACCACGTCATGAAGCTGCCATACTTTATTGCGCTAGCGGGTTTAGGATGTGGCCTTTTTGCCATCAGTATACCTCATCTGTCAGCTTTAAGGATTTGGCTGGGATTTTCAACATTATTCAGCCTAATATATATTGTTATTGCATTTGCACTAGCTCTTAAAGACGGTATGATTTTGTTCCTTTCTTGCAGTTCTTATGGTGTTGTGAGGTGTTCATTGAAACTACTGTCCTCTCTGTTTCCTTTAGTTCAAATTGATGTGCTTTTAAACTGCTAATCTGATTTTAAGTTTTTCATTCATCCAGTTCATGTTCTTTTCCACTTTTTGAAATGCACTGACCTTGTTTGTGGGGTTGAATTTTATAATGAAACTTGAGGATGAGGTATCCTGATACTGAGTATCCTAACAATGTTCTGCAGTTTCACCAAAAACTGCATAGGAGGTATTATTTCCATGTGTTGGGATATGTTAAAATGTAGTTTGCTGGATCAAATTTGTATTGGGGTACATGAGTTGTAATTAATATCATATATTGATTCATATTACAATTAGTTTGCGTTCTCAACGTTTTTTTTTATTTTAAAGATCTGTCAGATTGTTTAGAACACTTTAACAAGTATTAGTTTTCTCAAAGACTTGTACATAAACACAAAGAATGCAGATTACACACTTTTTTCTTTTGTTTTATTATTAGGAGTGCTATTTTGTTTACTCCGTTGCCAAAAAGATAAACAAACATAAAGTTCCAACTCCCCTACCCACAGAAAAGAAGAAAAAGTCACCCCATAATTCTAATCACATGGTTATAGCTAACGGCTTCAGATCATCTTTTATCTATTGACATTTGGGTTTTACTTGGTCCTGGTTTGCTGGTAGGTATTTGGTGTAGTTACAAGGTATCCTAGCAGAATTTAAGTACATTGACTTCTGATCTTTGAATTAACTTAAGAAGTTTGAAAAGTTAATTGTGTCTGTCACAAGCAACTTGATGACAATGAATAAATCGCGACTGTGAACTGTATTATCCCAAAGATACCTGGATTTCATCCATTCTTCTCTAGTAAGGAACAATTGTAAACTTATGTGTTCTGCTATGCTTTTCCAACAGTAGTGTGTTCAGTTGGTGTAAAGGAATAATATCCTCAGCATAACGGCTAATGGTGCTGATATTGATTGGATCCGTCTTATGAGAGATTGTATGTATTTATAGGGATTGAAGCTCCTCCCAGGGACTACAGCATTGCCGGAACCAAATCAAGCAGATTTTTTACTACCGTTGGTGCAGTTGCAAACCTTGTTTTTGCATTCAATACTGGAATGCTTCCAGAGATACAGGTCTGTGAAAATTAATGATCTTCAGAGACAAATGTCATACTTTTTTAGTGATTCACTGAATGGCTACGTTATATGTGACTCCATTTATGGATTCTATGTCTATATATCTTCTATTTTTCTATTAGATTAACATATTATTATTGCTTATTTATTTGGGTCATCGGCCTGTTAGTAGAAGTAAGGAAAATGACATCAAAGTGAATTGTTTCTTTTGTGTTACTACTTCAGCTGTGTTCATGTATTTGGTTTATTATGAAGGACTATATTTTCGCGCTGTATTGACTGCTTTATTTAGTCGCATGGACTTTGCATGTTATTACCTTTTTGTAGGAACTCAAAATTCTGAGATATACGAAGGATTGATGATGATCTTGGGACTTAAAACTTTAGTTTTAGGATTAAACAATGATATTTTCTTGCTTCTATGTTGATATTAGTAGCATCAGTTGTCTTGGCAATGACTAACTCAGTGTGAAGTGCCATTGGTTATCGCAAATTTTTGGAGTAGCTTCTGGTGGGAGTTTGACGTTGGAGAAGATTTCCGTTTCCCGTCCTTAGTGCAGGAGATTTGTTGACTGATTCTTGTTGGACTCTGGAGTCAGGAACACAATCTTTGTCATCTTTTGAACTTTGGGACTTTCTTTTTGGTTGTTTGTGTAGAATATCTTCTTCTCATTTCTCCCCCGCTCGGTGGCTTTTTTTTTTTTTTGGCCTTCTCTTACTGATGGTATTTTCATATATCCTCGTGAACATTGCATCTGTTACAATCCCTAGTATTTGCAAAGCAGTGACCAAATCTGACCTGCTTTCTTATCTGTTAAAGTTTGTTTTCAATGCTAGACATAACAATAATATTATCAATGTGACAGGCGACAGTGAGACAACCAGTTGTTTCAAACATGATGAAAGCTCTTTACTTTCAGTTCACAGTTGGTGTTTTGCCAATGTATGCTATCACATTTATAGGATATTGGGCCTATGGATCCAACACACAGACATATTTGCTGAACAGTGTTAGTGGCCCTGCTTGGGTGAAGACGCTGGCCAATATTGCAGCCTTTCTTCAAACTGTCATCGCCTTACATGTAATATCATTACTCTTCCTTTCTGAGTTTATAATTCCATTGGTTCGCTTGTCTCAGAACATCAAGCTTGCTCCAGATGCAAATAGTTTCTATATCCTATTCAAGTTGTTTCCTGAAGAAATATTTCTCCCTCTTTTGATTGCTTAGCACTATCTCTCTCTTGAAATTACACGCTAACTTTGAGTGTCCTATGTGTTTCTTGTAGATATTCGCAAGTCCGATGTACGAATACTTGGATACAAAATTTAACATAAAAGGAAGTGCATTGGCTTTTCGCAACTTGTCCTTCAGGATTGGAGTACGAGGCGGTTACCTAGGGATAACCACTTTCATTGCAGCTTTGCTGCCATTCCTGGGAGACTTTATGAGCCTTACTGGGGCTTTCAGCACATTCCCCCTAACTTTTATACTTGCGAACCACATGTACCTTGTCGCTAAGAAGAACAAGCTGACGTCCATGCAAAAGAGCTGGCATTGGTTAAATGTCTGTTTCTTTGGTCTCTTGGCTGTTTTAGCAGCAATTTCTGCTTTGCGGCTTATTGCAGTAGACTCGAAAACGTACCATATATTTGCAGATCTATGATTTTTTAGGCAGTTCCAGAGGCAAAATTAATCCCACGTCTGTTTATTTGTTGACATTCCAGGTGTAGGGTGTGGCTTTTCTCAGAATAAGAAGTGGTTTTTCTTTATTGAGTCTTAGCTGTCCATTGAGTTTTACAAATACATGGCGTTTTTGGTATGGTCACTAGGGGCAATTTCTCCTTGCCTTTTTGTTGCCCACGCCAGTGCTTTTAGAACATGTCAATCTAAATAAATGCACAGAACCAAATGAACCATTCCACTAATCCTCACATCGTAAGGCCATACCCCTCGCATATATCACAATCAAGAAAAGATACTACAAGAGATGCAACATGTTCTCTCTTTGTACAAATTCAGAAAACGACGTCCGTCAACTAATGCAGAAAATTTTCAAATACATCAGCAATACATAACCCAACAACCAGGAACTCATCACAAGATGGCAGTGGAACTTTCGAGATAGCAATCCAACATCCTAACAAATGCTTCAGCCCTAGAAGAACCTCCAATGCGCACTCCTTTCACAAGATCTATGGTTTACAGCATTCAAGTGATCTCTGCAACGAATAAGATAACATCAGAACTAGCAAACACTAGATTCATCAATGTTACCAAGATTAACAAAAGTGCAACAGCCAGGGAAAAAAAAAATTTCTCACAAATATCAGCAACAATGCCTATTGACTAAACTTTCCAAAACCACAAATATCATGTCCAAGTTTAGGACCTCAAGGTGACAGAAGGCAAATTCAGTTTCAAATAGGGCATGCAAAGCAAAATGTTCCCAATTATTTAGTCCCATACAAATAAACACTTTGTTGTTAAGGCAGGTACTTTTTTCCCTCATGAGCACACCGCACTCCTGAAGAAACAAGGACAAAATGCATGTTTGCAGAGAATTCATGCTCAATTTCCAACTGCAAGCCCAATACCTGTTACAACACGTCACTTATCCAACTTGTAGATAAGGAGAATTGAATTTAAATCAGAAAGAATGTTAAAGTGGCACAGATGCATGTAATATGGAATATAAGACATCCGTTGATAGATCCACCAACTCTGCAAGCATTGGTCTCGGAAAGCCAAGATACTAAACACTTGATTGCATTTTACAAGAAAATGACAGATCAACAAGCCTGGATAACCATAGATTCTCTGCTTAAAGACCATGCATACACTTACTTTCATGTTCTGTAAAAAAAAAAAAAAAAGTTACAATGCCACGAACTTCATTCCCTAAGAGTACATTAAACAGCTTCATAAAAGTTTCATCCAGCATACCCTAATAACTAGATCTACTAGCCACAACGAAAACAAAATGGAAAGATAAGACTCCCCAAATATACATCAATTAGCTTGACATAAACTTACCCAATGAAATATTAGCCAGATACAAATTTTATAACAATACAGAGGGTGTTCAGTAGAATAAGAAGAACTCTTAAGTATTGTGTTGTGTAAATAAGGCCGATAATCTGTCCCTTTACTGAGTTCCTCCGAGCTCCTGAGTATTCTTGGAAGCTCCAACCTCTGGGGGTAAGGAATCGATCTTCATTCAATATGGCCAAGGCATTTGCAAGAAGCAGGCAGCCCTCCAGCAATGTCCACAAGCCCATTTACTGCAAGATATGTCTTGAACCAGTAAATTTTCAAAAGCAAAACACTTTCTATTTTACATATCATCAAAGAAAATTAGAAATAATCAGTAGGACAACTAGAACTACAACAGGCCAAAAGATGCTGACCGATTTGAATGAAAACAGCGGATAATAAAAAAGTAGAGCTGGAAAGGGACAACCTTAATGTATAAAAATATACGACAACAACTCAGCAACTGAATGCAATTTTTTCAGGCAGTCCAATTTATTTCCATAATAGATGAATGGAATTTAAGTTACAGTAATCAAGAACTGGGATTAATTCTTTTACATTCAAAATGCTTAATCTTTTCCCACTTTTCATAGCATATCCAGGAACCTAGAGCAAGCAGCTAAATGAAATTTATACCATGAACTAGAAATAAACTCTATAATTTCTAGGAGTTATACAATCCAACAACTGAAGCACACTTGTTAACAACAGTTTTCTAGAAAAGAACAAACCCTTCATCATTGTATAGCCAGATAGAGGGGGGAAGGGGGAAGGGGGAGGGGCGTGGGGGAACATTAAAGCAATTTTTAAAGATATACCAACTGAAGCCCTCCATCCAAAATACAAAAATCCATAGGAGAATCAGTCATTAAACATTTAAGCTCACAACATGACACTTCATGCAAGTCAGGTTCCTAAGATCTCTTTAAGTGACAAGTGAAGATTTAGGACCCACTAAAATATAACAACTTTTGCCGCAACTTGCATCCAAAAAATAACTAACCTCAACACTAGAAGTAAAGTCGCACAAAAACGAACGAGTATTCTCAGGCAAGATCAGTTTTTTAGGAGCACCGCCATGACATACAAAAAGGACAAAAGCAAAAAAATTTCTTAGGTGAGTAAATATTATACCGGCTCTTAGATCCAACACACAAAAACAAAAATAAAAATAAATGTAGAGAAAATCAATTAACAAGAAGATTATTCGAATTATTAACGGGGATATTTACCAAAAAGAAAAAGTAAAACATCACCCGAACAAAACGAATCCTACAGATGCAGTCTAAAACAAGAAAAAGAGAGAACGATCCCCCACTTGCTCGACCAGGACTGAAGTGTCCGGGTCGGCCCGTCCCAACTAAGGACCAGATGAAAAAGAAAATACCTTTCTGCTATATTAATTCGAGGAAAAGACAATGATAATCCCCAAGAACATCCCAGAACATTGATAAATAGGATCGATTAAACCAAACCAATGGAAGAAAAATGCACGAAAAACAATAAGAACCTCATCCGCAATCCATACCAATTTTTAGGCCAAAATTGTCTCCTCAAAAACCCTTAGAAGAACGCGTGAAAGAAGAAGGGGAACGAGAAGGCTAACTGATGCTTCCGCGAGCAGGGAGAAGGATATCGCCGGGGAGTGGGCGTTTTGTTGGAGAGGAGAGTGGAGGTGGCCGTTGGGCTGAAACGCAGTGGGTATTTGTATTGGGCTAATGGGCTTAAGCTGTTGAAAGGTGTTTTGGGCGGATTTTGACAGTAGCTGGACTCAGCATCTTAATTTTTCTAAGATTTGTTTTAAAAGGAACTTTTTCCTTCTTTTACAAATTTGGGTGGATTTTAAATAAATTTATAACAAATAACATAGCATACTTGTTAAATACTCCATGTTATTTTCTTATGTCCACTTGTCATTCTAAATTTGGTCTTGTCCAGAGAAACCAAAAAAAAAAAAAACTGTATCTTATTAATCCATGATCAATGAATTAATAAAGGATCCGAACTATAGTGCAATAACTATTTCTTAATTTTCTATTGTTGAGTTTATTAGACATCTGTTTTTTTTTTCCCTTTTTACTCCTCGTGTGATACAGTTAATTGTGCTGTGTGACATAATACAAAATGTAATATATTATATATCACAATTGGTGCATAATGTTTTTGTTGATTGATGTTATCTAATTTGATACAATCGCTCTTATGCATGTATATATATGTATGCTTTTCTTTTTTTTTATAATTTGGGCAATTGCAATGTTATTTATAAGTTCTAATTTTTTGGATAATTATAGTTTCATTCTTTTTTTGGAAATGAATTATCGCTACAACTTATTTAATAAAATCGTACATGTCACTCAATTTGCTGCAATCAATATGAAATGTGGGAATAAGGAATATTTTTTCTTTCATTTGCGAGTTTATTCATGACAGAAAACAAAGGCACTGCTACGGTGCACAGCTACTGTTGGAAAACTTTTCCACGCCACTGATGGCCTGATTTGGACAGAATGCAGAGTGAAGCCTAAACTTTTGTCAAAGTATCAATTCTATCACTATATGAACACTAAACAAAATTTTATTGATATGTATATCCAAAATCATTCTATTTTTTTTTTAACTTCCAAATAACATCAAAATCACTACAATTCTTTTCTCCTCTTATTTTCTTTCATAACTTAATCTCATCTTTTCTTTTCTCTATCCTATGCTCCCAAACTAGCCATTAAAGTTTTGGTTTTAGCTTGCCGACTCCTCCATAACTAGTTTAGGAGTTGTGATTTAATGAAAAGAAAAGAACGTGACAAAAAATACACTCTTTCTAACATTTAAGAGTTTTTGAGAGGTAGAAAATGACGAAAAGCATCTGATTTTGACTGATGAGCTCGTACTATTATGGTTACCAAAATTTTCAGCCCAGATGTGGACGGAAAGCATCGGAAAAGGATGAGAATCCCTAATAAAATTTTTTATAAATGCCAATTTGTCCTCAAATGTGTGCTGAATAAATTTTTATCTATATATATATATCAAAAATCATCCCTTGTCCAACCTTAACTCTCAAACAATATTAAAATCATTCATCTTTCTTTCTCTCTTTTTTTTATTTCATAACTTAATATTTTCCATCATTTTTTTCCTAACCAAAACATCCAAACTATCTATTAATATAAGAATTTGAAAGATTTTGAAAATGAATTGAACAAGTTAAAATATGGATTTTTTAAGAAAAAAATCACAATAGATGGCTAATGATAAAAAAATATAAATGACTAATGATAAAAATATAGAATATGCTAAAATATGCTATGTTTTTTTGATTTATTTCTTTAACTTACAAGTCCATTATTTTACATGATTAACAAGAAATTTTCATCAGTTGTAATTTAAAAAAAAATCAACTCTCAAGCAACGTTTGGATTAATAAAAGGGTATGACTTTAACAGAAAAGCAAATAAATCAAGTAGACAATTTTTTTCCTAACCATCTTGTTTGGATTACTTATACAAAAGAAAAAAAAAGAAACACCGAATATTTTGCAAAAGAACGGAAAGAATAGATTATGTACAGTTACATTTTATCCATAACTTAATAAAATCTAATTGTAAACGTACTTTAATACTTTACCCTCTTTTTGTATATTTTCATATTCATCTTGTCATTATTATGAAAATTTTAAATAATAATATTTAAATGGAAATTTTAATTTTTTTTAAGAGAAAGAAATTACAAGAACTATTAAAATATAGAAAAAGAATTTTAAAATGTTAACAATTATCGTTATAAAATCTAGTATTCAAGATTTTCAATTTTTCTTACATTCAAAATCATGGTTAATTAGTACAAGTGACTAAATTATGTCTATCCATATAAATACATAATATTTCTTAAGTTGTAAGAATAGTAAAGTCATTTGACTATCCAATGAGATAAGTATTGGGTCCAAATAGCTTATAGAGGAGGTAAGTAATATTTTCAAAACTTTAGAGTAAAAAAGTGAAATTGTTGGAAATCTAAAGGGAGGTTTCTGAAATTATCCCTATCATCTACACATATAACCATCATTGACTCACCTAGGGTTTTAGCGCAATTCTTCTTGGACTCCTCCATCACAAGCTACAAGCAAACCCCATCCCCCAGTCCCCGCCGCCCTCACCACCCATCAGAAAATGGTTAAGGGACGCCAAGGAGAGCGCGTCAGGTAATCTAATTTTCCGACTCCATCTCCATCTCCCCCTTATTCAGTAATTTGTTTCATTGAATTTGATTTTTCTCCCAATTTTTTGGGTTTAACCCTGCAGGCTTTACGTTAGGGGAACCATCCTCGGGTACAAGAGATCGAAGTCCAACCAGTACCCGAACACTTCGTTGATTCAGATCGAAGGAGTGAACACAAAGGAGGAGGTGGCTTGGTACCTCGGCAAGAAGATGGCGTACATCTACAAGGCTAAGGTTAAGAAGAATGGATCTCATTACCGCTGCATTTGGGGAAAGGTTCGCCGGCCTCACGGCAACAGCGGCGTCGTCCGAGCGACGTTCAAGTCGAACCTCCCCCCCAAGTCAATGGTAATATTAACTGTACTGCTGTTCCTTTATTTATTATTCCTATTTGGTTTGCTATTTCTTTTTCTTAAATGAATGTTTCTGTATTTTGATATTTCAGGGATCAAGGGTTCGGGTCTTCATGTACCCAAGCAATATTTAAGGTATTCTTTATCCGCTTTTTTGAAAATTTTCCAGGGTTATGTTTATGGTTGCTTTTTGGTGAAAATTTTGTTACCTATATTTTTCAGTGAGATGTTTCTTTTGCAATATCTGAATTAGAGTTTAATAATTTGGGTCATTTACGGGATGCTCTAACTTGTAGAGTTTGGTAAACTGACCAATTGGTTAGATTATGAGTAACTTCAAGGTTGGTCGATAGTTGGAGTTGATTTTTTGGGTTGGATTCTGTATATATAGATATGCGGTCGCAATTCCTTTTGTTCCTCATATTGCTTTTATAAGTGGTTTCCCTTTCACAATGATGTGTGCTTGTGCTAATTTTTGAAGTTTTCTTTGTTAGAATAGTTGTAAGAAGGAGCGGGTTTTTGTGAAGAATTTGCTTGGAGTTTTACATCTCCGTCTCTATACAATACTAAAATTTGTAGGCAATACAGCTCAGCTTGAGTAGCAGATGGTTTTACCAGATTTCTTGTGTTGGATTTCAGTCTTACCAGATTTATAGTTATGGCTTAAATTTTCAGACATGCATCATTTTAGTGAATGATGAGGTAACATGGAGAAGTTTTTCATGAGAACAGTTTGTGTGGCTACTGATGAACATGACCAAAAAATGTGGGTGGAGAGAGAGCGAGCAAGATGTGGTTCTGAAGACTATACGGAGGATGTCAATCATGCTTAAAATTGTTTGTGTTACACAATTCATCCAAAATATGGCTGTTAGATATGCAGAATTGATGGAGACTTGTGTGCACAACATGTGGGAGGTGAAAGGGAGAGATTTTGTTAATTTTCATAAGGTGACTTTGATTTGTTAAGCAATATCCCCCCCCACATTTCAGGAAGCATGTTAGAAAAGATGGCACTTTGGCTAGTTTCCAAGTATTTTGAAACTTCCCCGGTATAAGTTATCCAAAGTTACTGCAGACAGGGGTTAAAACAATTTTGTTGATCGGCGCAGATTTATCCTAATTTAATATAATGAGTTAGAGTTAGATTAGCATTCAGTGGCTTTAAGATGACATCTTTTTGGATTGAATTGTCTGGTAGCTTGTCTGCTCAAGTGATGTTCTGCTGTTGGGGCACTGATGCGTATTGTTTAGACTCGCGGAGGGTTTCTGATATGCATGTATGCTACATTTTCCATGATTGACCCGTTCCATCTGGCTATGATTAGATATTTGCAATTTGTTGGAGCTCCTGAAATTTGAAAACTGTGGAGTGGTACACTAGACATTCAGAAGCTACTCCTGATTTTTGTGATCATCATCAGTTTCTACGGTTTCCATTCTTAGTGTTGCCATGATTACGTTGTGTTAAATGGTTATGGAGTCATTTTTTACTATTTGCTTGGTTGCTAGTCATTTGTTTGGACGTTTACAGTTTTCTTATGTTGTTGCAGTGTTCCAGCGAAAGTAGGAGGAGACAGCTTGAGGTCATTGGTGGCTTTAGAAGGCCGTAGGTGCCAGATGAAGGTCATTGGTGATTGAAGGACAGTATTTAGAGGCAAAATTTACCCCTTTTTTTGTGGACTTACCCTTCTAGTCTCTGAATTTATCATGTTTATTTTATACTAGGAATTGAACATGCAATCTGATGAGACAAATTTTGATTATGTGGATTTTATCTTTTTTCACTTGGGTGTTTTTGATCGTTAGTCAACCAGAATTATTGTTGATTCGTCTCTTCATGATATGGCTGTGGGTATTGTTTGAGGTTAGCGTCCTTTTTGATTGTCTCGGTGATTTGCTGTCGATCAAATCAGTTGGGAACGTTTCTACCCGGTTCTTGTTTACAACTTTACATCTGGTGTGCGAATCTGTTAACAATAGCTCTTCTTCCTCGACTTTTCCCCAAGAAAATTGTTGAACTAAAGAGACTCTATAGTGAATAATAAGTGCGGCTTCTTAATTCCTATACTGGAAAGTACGACTGTGTCGGTAGGTGGTTTTTTCCCCCCCTTTGGAACTCTTTTGCCACTTTCTTTGGACAATTTCTTAACCGGTTAATTACCTTTACCTCCTTGAATGTCTTACTATATTACCAATCAGCCCCTTAGGTGTGATCAAATTACAAATCCATCTCCCATGCTCAAAATTTCATAATTATCACGCCCCTACCATTTGTTCAATAACGTTGACTACGTTATCATGTTTCCAAGAAATGAGCAAAGATTTATCGTGAAAGTCCTAAAATGCTCGTGTAAACCCTAAGTTGTTCTTTTCCTAGGTTTTCCTGCACAATTAAGTGGGCCTTGGAGGTAAAAATTAGGGCTAATTGCAGAAACCTCAGGAGAGGTTTTTGACATTTGCATTGGCCTCTCCTGTGATTTGAAAAATTATACTGACCTTCCCTGAGGTTACTAATTCTTTGCAAATTTAGTCCAAACGATTAAAATATTATTTTAGAGAGTGAAATTAGAAATTTGTACCAGATTTACCCTTTGTGCTATATGTCCAATGAATGACAAAATATTATAAATTAATTAACAATTAATAAATTTTAAGGAATATAATTTATGAGCAAACACGTATTACTCATTTAAAATACCAGCTCTTTACGGATATTTTATTTTCAAACATTTAATTTGTGATAAATATATCAATATTTGTAAGTAAAATTCAAAAAGTGTTACAGTAATATTCTTGTAAAAAGGAAATCGGTAGGTTATTTATTTAATATAAATTAAATATTTTTTTAAAAAAAATAAATGACCCATAAAGTATTAATTTTTTATGATTTTCATCCATTACATGAGTAAAGTATTCGCTCTTTATGTGCATTTTATTCATTTAATTTATGTTAAATATATAAATGTTTGTAACTAAAATTGAAAAAGCGTTATATTAATATTTTTACGGAAGAGAGATTGGTAGGTTTTGTATTTAACAAAAATTAAATATTTGAAAGTAAATACAAATATGTATTTGAGCATAAATATTTGTATTAAATTAAATGTTTGAAAGTAAAATACCCGTAAAGAACCGGTACTTTAAATAGTTATCGGCTCTTTATGGGCAAACACGCATTACTCATTTAAAATACCGGCTTTTTACGGGTATTTTATTTTCAAACATTTAATTTATGATAAATATATCAATATTTGTAAGTAAAATTCAAAAAGTGTTATAGTAATATTCTTGTAAAAAAAAAGGTAGGTTATTTATTTAATATAAATTAAATATTAAAAAAAAGAAATGACCAATAAAGTATTAATTCTTTATGGCTTTCATCTATTACATGACTAAAGTATTGGCTCTTTATGAGCATTTTATTCTGAATCATTTAATTTATGTTAAATACATAAATGTTTGTAACTAAAATTGAAAAACTATTATATTAATATTTTTACGGAAGAGAGATTGGTAGTTTTTGTATTTAACAAAAAATAAATATTTGAAAGTAAATATATATCTGTATTTGAGCGTAAGTATTTTTATTAAATTAAATGTTTGAAAGTAAAATACCCATAAAGAGCCGGTACTTTAAATAGGTAATGTGTATTTGCCTATAAACTATACTCCTTAAAGTTTATTAATTGTTAATTGATTTGTAGTACATTGTCATTCATTGGACATGTAGTACAAATGACAAATTTGGTAAAAAAATTCTAATTTCACTCCCTAAGACAATATTTTAATCGTTTGGACTGAATTTGCAAAGGATTAGTAATCTCAGGGGAGGTCAGTGTAAGTTTTCAAACCACAGGGGAGGTCAGTGCAAATGTCAGAAACCTCAGGGGAGGTTTCTGCAATTATCCCTAAAAATTATACAGACACTCCAAGCCAAATGCTTCAATTTGGCAATAATACAACCAAATTTCAAATAAATTTCACTGAAATGTATTACAATTCTTCTAGGGAAAAAAGAACTACATAAAGAAAAATTAAGTTTATCAAAATTTGAGAAGCCCGGAGAACTTGTTGCAAAATTTTACGAAAATATAAAGAGAAAAAAAATTAAATGATTCATAAAATATAGAACTATTAGTTCTTTAGAGCACGTCTTAAACGGTACATGCAAACTAGGGAATAAGGATATAATCTCATGGGGAAAAAGGGAAAAGAGGAATGAGGTTTAATAGATGATTTTTGGAATTTCACCTAAATATCCATTTCCCAAGCACTCAAATTGCCGATCTACTATAATCTTCATCATATCCATCTCAAACACCATAAAATCTTCAGAACATTTAGTGTGTTTTACTAATAAATTCTAACAGGCTTTCAGATTTATCCAAAATTTAGTTTACTGTGGTATGATTTGTCAATATTGCATGCTTTTTTTGGGTCTTGTGTATTTCAATGGAGGCTAGAAAAGATGGGAGGGGAGAAGGTTAGTGGGTGTCTTGGTGATTGGTGAAGCATACTTTGCAATCAGATTTGCAGCATCCCAGACAACAAGGGGTAAGATCGAAGGTAGGATCTTAGGAGCTTGGACAGTGTATCAAGAATTGTAGAGAAGGAAGAATTCTTTTGTCTTTCTTCCAGCCCCTGTTTGTTTCTTTGAAGCAAAATTCTCTGTCTTTGGTTTCTGGTAGCTCATTTACTGATTTCATTTTTGAACATCTTTCAGGCGAGGGCATTGTTGTACCTTTGTAACATCCGTTAATTGGGTTTAAATAGTGTCATTTGTAGGGGGTGATTGTTATTTGATAAAATCTCAAGGCTTATTTTGTCATTTGGCTGAACCTCCGAGGAGGTATATGTAATTAACCCTTTCTTAACCTTAATTTTTTCTAGTCACTATTTCGTTTCTTAAAAAATGATGTTAAAAATCGAACAATTTGCATTAGCATCAAAGAATATGAGAATATGGGGTTCCTTTTTTATTGTGCTTAAGTTGTCCTTGAATCATTTTGCTTACGGGGCATCGGCCGCCCCTCGAGAACTTGGAACGGCAAAAACCCGATGGGGCGTGCGGAATGGTAGGCCTTTGATGGATGAAGGCCTCGTCATCCGCCCCTCCCCCACCACCAGCGCACCAACAAAAAAAAAGAATCAAATAAAAAAGGAAAGAAAAGAGCAGCAAATGATATGAAGAGAAAAGTGACGAAAGGAAGCGCGTGAAAAGCGACAGTGTGAAAGAGGAAGTAGTACCAATTTGTTTCGGGTTAGATTTTAATACCAGTACGAGACCTTTACGTGTTACTCCGTTTATCCCCGTCACGTTCTGATGTGGGATGGAGTAAAACGGAAAATGCGGTACCCCCTATATTTTACCTTGAAAATTCATCGAGCAAATTATATTGATTTTGTTATCTGACAAAGTTGCCTTACACTCGCAACGAAGAACCAAATGTAATTCTCTCACTAGAAGTTTAAGCGCATGTTGTTATAATATAACCATCACAAACATTGTAACTAACAAAATAATTGTAATTTGATAGAAACAAATTTTACAAGATCATAGTTTTGCCTCTTTTTGTTAAATCAATTATAAAAGGACATTATTTATACGCATAGCAGGTAAGCCCTTGACAATGTTCTAAGTAAACTGAAAAAGGGTAAAAGCTTAATTTGATAATGAATGTAATGTTTCTCACGTTTTAAAAAGAATAAATAGGGTTGCTGGTTGATATTTTCTTATCATTAATATTTAATACCAGAAATTTCGGAGCCTTTATTCCTCAAAATAATAACATCTGCAATAGCCTCAAAGCATGTGATTTTGATATTGTAGGAGTTGACTAACCACTAAATTGGAAAATGAAATGGCACCAGAAAACAAATGGATTTGGAATGAAGACCTGAGATATTCCATCACCCCAAATATACACTCCCTTTGGTTAAAAGCACCTTTCTTGAGAAATACTACAGAAAAAGGGGGGAAAAAAAAACAGAAGAGAAGGAATCCGACAATTAATACTAGCTTAGTGAGATGCTGGTAATCACATGGCATTTGGCATATTTTGGGGAAAAAGTTTTGTTGGTAGATAATCGATTTTCTGTCCCATATCCTGTGCCACTCATTATCCCACTTTTTATTATATTGCTATTTCTCCTTCACAAACATTATGTTTTAATTCCTTTTTATTTTCTTATGATCCAATAACTATTAATTGAGTAAAAAATAAATACAACAGTTTCAAAAAACTAATATATAATAGAAAATTAAAAAATACAGCAGAAAATTCATAAAAAATCTCATTTTTTATGCATTTTGATTTTTTGAGTTTGTTAAATTTTGTGTATTACTCAATTAATAGTTATTGGATCATAAGGAAATAAAAAGGAATTAAAACATGATGTTTGTGAAGGAGAAATAGCAATATAATAAAAAGTGGGACAGAGAGTGGCACAGTGTGCGGGACAGAAAATCCATTGCGGTAAATAATAGTACTAAGCAAGATACAAGTCAACCACCACCCCTAATACAGAGCTTAATACAGGACTTAATACAGAGCAAGCAATAGTCCTAAAAATAAGATTATTTAGTACTATTTGACTAATCATCACACAATTAAGCGACTCCCCAACAGTAATCAGTAATTAGGCGCAGTAAGGCGTCCTCACGCGTTTACCTCGTCCTCCACTCCTCCTCTTCTTTTTTCTTTCTTATATCTCTCTTTCTCTGCCCTGCAAATTCTCCGTCGGTAGTCCTCAAAACTCGACCCATTTCTCCTCTCTATTCACACAGCTACAGCAATATTATTGTATTCAACGTGTAATTAATTATATATAAATATATACCAATCCGCAATTCGACGGTGGAACAATTTTTCGTTGAATAGTCTGATGAAAGTGACTCATCAGATCCATGGGCATTCTTCCTAGCTTCTTCTCCCCAATGCGTCGTGTTAGATCTCTCTCCACCCCCTCCTCCCCTCCTCCTCCTCCTCCTCCATTCTCTATTTACCCAATCCTGTCCCTTTTTCGCGGCTAAATTTCCCTTTTCCGCTTCAATTCTTTTCTTTCCTGTATAATCCTAGGGTTAGGATAGATTTTTTGTTTTTGTTGTAGATTTCCGATATTTTGGAGATTGCTCGGAAACTATCGGGATGAAGGCGGCAGCAGGACTAACGTCAGCTTCCAGCCGGCTGTTTACGTTCGGTCTGGTGACGGCCTGGTATTCGTCGAATATAGGAGTTTTGTTGCTCAACAAATATTTGCTCAGCAATTATGGGTTCAGGTATCCGATCTTTTTAACTATGTGTCATATGACGGCGTGTTCTTTGTTGAGCTACATTGCGATTGCTTGGTTGAAGATGGTCCCCATGCAGACTATAAGATCTAGGAAACAGTTCTTCAAGATCTCTGCTTTGAGTCTCGTCTTTTGTGGATCCGTTGTTAGCGGTAATATCTCCCTCCGTTTTTTGCCCGTCTCCTTTAATCAGGCCATTGGTGCTACCACGCCGTTCTTCACGGCCGTCTTTGCGTATTTGATGACCTTTAAGAGAGAGGCTTGGTTGACTTATGTCACTCTCATTCCTGTTGTCACTGGAGTCGTGATTGCCAGTGGGGTGCGTTTCTTGCTCTTCTTTCTTTGCGTTTCCAGCTAATTCCGTTCATTTAGATTCATTGAACTATTGCTGAATTGGGAGTAATTTTTGCCTTGGAGCTTTTCTCTTTACATAGTTTACTGCGGTAAAGAGGATATAGATTTGCTTTATCGTGCTGACGACTTGTGGATTATACGGTAGAAATATGTTCTTCTGTGTGACAATATCCAGTCGATTTTCCAGACTTCGTCAGTAAGAAAAACTTTTACTTATTTGAGTAAGCTCAGAGGCTTATGGATCAAAATTTCTAGTTATTCCAGGGCATCATCAAGTAAGGACTAGCGCACTTCATCAATTGATGAGGTGATTTCAAGATGACATAATAACTATTTGTTAACTCTCTCCCATCACCACTTTTTCATGGAATTTAAGTGAGATATTTCTAAACTTACTAATACTTAAGGAACTGATAATTCATGTGCGAATAATGGATCTTTCATTTCAATTCTGTCGATAAACTATTCTACTGAGAAAATCTTTTTGCCTCTGATTTTTTTTGGGGGTGTTTTTCTCATTTTATGCATTCAGGGCGAGCCAAGTTTCCACTTATTTGGGTTTATTATGTGCGTTGGTGCAACAGCTGCAAGGGCCCTCAAGTCTGTACTACAGGGAATTTTACTTTCTTCTGAGGGGTAATTTCTTTTGCCTGCAATTATTGTTTTGATTTGGAAAAGTATTTTTGTATTTGGGCACATCTATGACTTCAATGTGATTCTGAAACATCGCTTTTGTGTTGAAGGGAAAAGCTGAATTCCATGAATCTTCTGCTGTACATGGCTCCTATAGCTGTTGTACTTCTACTTCCTGCCACACTGTACATGGAGAAAAATGTAGTTGGTATCACATTGGCACTGGCAAAAAATGATATCAGGATTATCTGGTATCTGCTATTCAATTCAGCACTTGCATATTTTGTGAATTTGACCAATTTTTTGGTCACAAAACACACCAGTGCTCTGACTCTTCAGGTATGACCCTGTTTCTGGAATTCAATATATATTCTTGTCACAGAGTTAAAAAAATTATGGGATATATGTTTTCAGACCAAAATGATCATTGGTGTTCCACTTTAAGCACAAAAGAGCAAAATCTTTTAAGAATCAGATTAGTGTTTGAAATTATTCTGAAACAGATATATTAAGGACTTGTAGGGATTAGGATTAAGATTGCATTCACTATGTTTATTATTATACTTTTACACTTCATTTGTGTAATTTTATGTGGACAAACATTTTGAGGAAGATAATGCTTGATTTAGAGGCATTCAGCTAGGATTTTGGCTTTGTGCGACTTCTAGTCCAGTTTAATGTGAGGGTGAGAAGGGGCTGACCTTGATGAGGATTCCTGTCCCATGGTGTAGGGACTTCTGGCATGCATATCCCTGGGTAAAAATTTTTGACATTGTTGCTTGCTTTCTCCAATTTGAGAACACCAGAAAGTGAGGAGATTAATTGGTCTGTTGGTGCTAGATGATGATAGCAGACTAGGTGTGGAACAAGTTACAAGTATTAAAAGATTGAGCTGCATTAGTTATTCTGCTTGTTATTTTTCTTCCCTTCCTAATTTTCCCTCTCCCTCTCCCTCCCTCCCTCTTCCTCCACACCCCCTCTTCTTCTTCTTCCTTTCTTTGTGCTTTTTGGTATAAAGAGTCGATTGTTGTTCAACTTCTCGTGGGAAATTGTTTACCCGGCACTCTATGACATTGATCTTATTCAAGTTATGCGTTTAGAAGTTGATTTAGCTTTAGGGTGTAGCATTTTTTCACAACTATCAAAAAGCATTTCTCATTTAACTTGCAATTTGGAGAGCATTCTTTCTAGACAACAACTGTGCTGTTAGAAATGATGCCCATGTCAATGTGTTTGACTGCAATCCTTGTTGCATGCACTGATGCCATAACTTCTATCTATTTTGTCATATTTCTCATTTTACTTGGAGTAGAATCCTTGGAAGTACAAATGAATGATCAGGAATTTGGATTCTTTCTTGCAAAGGATGCTATTAAGTTCTTAGATTCATTTCTTTTCTGGAATAAGAATGAAGGAATATCTCTTGGGACAGCTACTCTTTGGAACAAATTAATTTTGGGGTGGAATACCACAGATTCCTTTGATCACATGTTTACATGATAGTATAATGTTGTATTTAGAAATAGATAATTTGAAATACCTTGCTTTTCTTGATTTTCTTTCCTTTTTCCAAATATGAACATGTATTGGGTCGTATGAGGTGGGGAGTTGGTTATTGTCTGTAGTGAGAGTTATAGAATTTACTCAAATTGTCTGGTGATTCAGTAGGAGCTCTCTTTTATATGTTGATTTTGCAAGGGTAGCTTCTCATGCAGTTTCTTTATTGTGAACTCTTAAGGAGGCTCACATAATTTAGCTTAGGTCCTTTTGGTTGTAGGTTTTATAACTCGTTGTTTCTGTGCTCTGTGTGAGTTGGGTAGGGTTGGGAAATCGGGGGTTTGGGAAATCGGTAGGGTTGGGAATTTTGCAGATACAGAGAAATGAAATCATGGAAACATTTACTCATGCATAGAAGCCTTTACTTTCTCCTCACGGTAAAGGCATTGACTAATGTCCACGGCAGTTCAATTTGAGATGTTTCTTGAATCAATTAGCATTATAAGTATTAGCACTAGCGTCAGATATTATCTGTATCATTCTTAATGTTTTGCAGTGATTCTTTTTATAACAACGGTTGCTATCTCCACTTCTATAATCTTGTCCATGTTAAGCATCAGAAATTTTGTGAGTCCAGTGAATGACAAGCATTTTGCATCTGTATTACTGCTATTTGATTATTAGTATTTCCCTATTTGTTCATTTTCTATAGTCGGTACATTTTGTGGTTGTTCCGGCTGTTGAGAGCTTTTATGCATGGCAAATTAGCTTATGCTCTCTACTTTTTCACTTGTCTCCTCAGGTCCTTGGAAACGCAAAAGGTGCTGTTGCTGTTGTTGTCTCAATACTAATATTTAGGAATCCAGTATCAGTTACAGGGATGCTTGGCTATTCACTCACAGTGTTTGGAGTGGTGCTCTACAGTGAAGCCAAGAAGCGTAGTAAATGAGAAATTAACCTAGGGAAAAAAATTCAACTGCAGTTTTCCACTAGTTATGCGAGGACAGGTGCAATGTTCCTTATTCATGCCAGGATTGTCTATTTTGCAGCTGGTATCTTGGGTTGTTGCCCTGATACATATTTTTTGGTTAGAGACCTCGGAGAAAGCCTTCCATCTGTATCAGAAATGTCAGCAATTTAGCCAAAGTAGAATTTATTAATAAGTGATTTGTACGACTCTTCACTCTTCCCCAGCTTGGAGTCATTAAAGATAGATCTTTTTATACTAGTATTTTATTCTTTCAGGAAACTGTTTTCAGTCTACAGAATATGTTGTTAAAATTTTTGACATTGATTAATGAAAGGAATACACACGATTTTACTGTACGATTGATAACTATGTTGATGTTACATGACTTGTATGATAGTGAACACTGCAATTCTCAGCATACGCGATGTGAGGTACTAAATTGTGGTTACTGTTGATGGGTGCTTGATCGTTAGCAACTCAATTTTCTATCAAATGATTCTTGTTTTCAGATTTTGCCATGCATGTTGTGATTTAGTTGAATACGCCCCTTGGGCGTGGAGCAAGATCCCAGCGAATCTGTTGTGTTAGCTCATCAAAGTTGGCTTTAGCAAAGTCCTCTTCTAAGTGTGAGCTAGTACCGAATCAAGGCCTCCTTGTGGGAGACGACACTGTGAAATGATGACTTGCCTCGTACGCATGCAAACTTGTGTAAATCCTGGAATTTTAAATCAGACATTTATTTGTTATATTTGTAACTTTACTGAAATTTGGTAATCTTCGTCAGCAAATAAAATCCCAAAACGTACAAAAATGCACCCAGGGTCCAGACATCAAAGCATTGGGAAACAGAGTGCGTTTCTGCAAAATAGAATTCTTTCAAACTGATATCACTACGAAGGATGGACAGCGACCGTTTGGCATCAGTAAATATGACGAGGTTTAAAGACTAACCCAGATTATCATCACACTGAACGCCCTAGAACTTCTCCATTAATTGACTAATCTACACCTAAATGAACGCAGAAAAAACAAAGAAACACAAAAGGACTCTTCCACCTATATCTGCTATCAGCAGCAGCAGAACCAACTACTGCTCAATATCCATGATCTCAATTTCACCATTAGTGCTTGCTCCGAGCTTATTTTCTACTTTAGGCTTGCCATCAACAAGAGGCTTGCTTTCTTCGTCAAGCTTATGGCATTCTAAAAGCTGAGGTTCCTCTTTAGGCTTGCTTTCTGCTGGTGGCTTGCTCTCTTTCTCATCTTCTGCAACTTCCATAAGCTCAGGTTCCACTTTAGGCTTTGTCTCCGCTTTCAACTTGGTTTCCGCCTTTGGTTTGGTTTGTGCATGAGCTGCAACCTCTTCTTCTTCTTCTTCTTCTATCTTTGGAGCTAAATAGTACCTGATGTAACCCATCCCTGCGACTTTGTATTCAACCACAACAGGTAGATCAGAGGACATGCTGATTGTCACTTGCTCAGCAAGTGGGGTGGCCTTTGTGAACGAGTTCATGTACCTCAATGCAAACGTCAATGTAACTGGTTCCTGCATTTCTATAATCGTAGCATCTTCTGGCTGTAGTATACAAGGCAGAACTGTGTTAGAGAGGGTTTGAACTACGTTTATGCTGAATTTAATTACATATATGAACTTTTACAAGGAGACTAATCTTGTCAAGATTTATTTCTCTGGTTTTTTGTTACAGCATCTGACACAACATGTTTTGGCCATTGGCTTCATGTTACTTGTTAGTGAGCCGATCACAATCATGTAATTAGCTGGATGCTATAACTGGAATGAATTAGGAGAAGAAAAGACCTTGTCCACTGTTGCATTCTGCCTGCAGACAATGTTTGCTGCACCAATGTCACCTCTTGCGGAAAACCTCACACCTTCTTTTGTCACAGATATTACAACTACAGTAATTCGGTGCCCGTTAGCATAGCATTGTATGGTATGGAGCGGACAAGATGGGGGGATCAAAAACAAGAAGGGGATATAGAGGATATCACTAAATTTATGAGGCTCTACCAGTGTCACCAATGCTGCTAAGATCTCTGCAAATCCTTGCAAACTCTGCTGATGGCATCCTAATAATAGCCTCATACTCGGCTTCTGGAATCCCAAGATGCTCGCTATCAATGTCCATAAGCTTCATTTCAAAATCAGATATCTTGTCTTGAGCTTCAGTTTCCAACGTCCGTGCCAAATAGGAAAGTGGAATATTAAGTCTCAAGAGAAACATTTTTAAAAATTGATGACCATATTATATTCGACATAGAGTAACAATTAAGCACCCCCTAAATTGGTAGCAACAGATCAAAATTAACACAAAGATGTAAAAAAAACACGCATGTACACAGATATGTTTCGAGAGTATACTACTTCTCAGGCTAACAAGCAAAGGTAACGATCAATTTGTCGAGTGAATAAGCAACATAAATCCAAGAAAACTAGTTGATCGTGTGCATTTCAGATTAGAAATCAGAAACAGATTGTTAACCAGAGTAAAGAAAGTTCGCATCAGTTTTTACTATCACTGGCATCTATGGCATAGAAAATTTTGCAACAATTAATGAGACAATCAATTCCCCAAAAGCTCATTACTCTAATCAAGCATAAACAACAATAGAAACACATATTTGACGTACACAGTTGACATATCCCAACTGTGATTTTTACATCCTGAACACAACATTTAATTAATCACCTTAAACAATCCATATTAGCAAAAACCCATCAATCAGAATTCTCGAATATGCAAGCCCGGGAGAATAAAATATGAGATAATACTACTAACTACAAATTTTTTGTACAAAACGAGAAGGACAAGAGGGGCATGACTAAGAAGCATACAGGGGCTTTCAAACATGAAGGTAACAGTATCAGTTCCATCGTCAGCCTTGATAGTAATGATGTCATCATTGCCAGCACATTTGAGCATCTTAGCCATGTTCGCCAGGTTCATGCCCATCGTCAGGTTGCGGTCGCAGCGGTAGTGCTCGAAGCCCTCCGATCGGAGAAGGAGGGCCACCAGGGCCACGTGGCTGGAATCCATGGCCTGAAGAGAGAACCCAGTTGAGGAACAGTCGAAATTTGCATCATTCACCAAGTCCTTGATGGATTCAAGAACTTTCTTCAACAAACTCCCCTGTACCAGTCTCAGTTCAAACATTTTCTCGCTAGGGCTTTACCTTTTTTCACCGGAATTTTTTAGGAGAGTGACAGTCAGAGGAAGTACTGCTTCATTTGTAGAGTAATTTGGCGGGAAAGTGAGAAATTCCCGCCACGAAGAACGATGTCGTTTTCTTTCGCCCTTTCCCTTTTCGGGTTTTTAACTTCTTGATTTTCTATTCTGCGTTTCTAATATCTTGATAAAAATGCTAGTATTAGTTACAAGTTGTAATGCTGCTCACGTTTTATACTTTAGGGCAAAACATTTGGATGGCACTTTAGGACAAAAAATTTGGATGGCTCTCAATGTTGATCAACTTTTACTCTCTAAATTAGGTGCATATTCTTGTAAAAATGCATACTTCCCACTCTTTTAGCTAAAGATAATTTTGGAAATCTCCTCAAAATTTATTACTTCAAAAATATCAGTAACATCTCCTAAAGCCATACATTTTATAATAGTCTCACCCTTGTATCATTAAAATATTTTTATATTAATCATTTAACAAGAGAAATATATTTTTCTCCCAATTCTATCCTTTTTGTATTGTTTTATATTGAATTTTCTATCAAATTGATTATAATATAAGATTTATATGTTTTGTCTAAAAGTTTTCATTTCTATTATACTTTACCTAAAAATTATTAAAGTAATGAAAATAATTTTGTGAATTGTGTGCTATGATAGTGATTAATAGTCCTACCTCATTAATATAGAAGTTAAGTGATATTTTAAAATTTCAAAGATGTCAAGTGATATTATCATAAACCTCACGGAAGGAAGGTTTTTGAAATTATCTCTAGCAAAAAAGGTGAAAAATATATCCCTTTACAACCTCGAGGGGCAAAGATATACACTTAATAATTGGACAGCTAAAAGTTGAACAATAAATTCAGTTTTTTTTTGTCCTATACTTTAGTAGAGTAACCAAAAATTTTGACCTATACTTAAATAGAGGAAGAAAGAAATATGCCAAAATTTTAGTAAAATAGGTGGTCATGCCCGTGAAAGAAAATAATTGTTGTGCCTTCGCTAAGTGTAATATTTGATTCATTACCTCTACCACTCCTGCGTTTCATCAACTATAGGAATTCAATTGTAATTGATAGTTAAATACGTGAATGGGCTAAGGCATACATTTGAATTTTGTTAAGATGGCAAAACAAATGCAGACCCAAAGGAACTTTCTTTGCATTTAAAGAAAGAAGCAGCAAATTAGAACTTAGAAGCAGACAAGCATTTAAAGAAGAAGAAAGTTGTTCAGTTGGGTTCGTTAAATAAAATAACAAGCCACAGCAATTCCAACAGGAATTAAGGCAAACTGAGTAAAACCTGCCCAAAATAAAATCTAGGGATGTCTGAATATTACATCCCACAGATCAGCAATAATGAGGAATACTAAAATGGCCCTGTGGGCTGGTTTACAATTAATTCATTTCATTGACTGCAATCAAACAGAAAGGAAAATGTAAAGTTGTAACACACTCGGGGCAAGCAATCCCATATAGATAGATGGTATCCAAGAGAGGGAAAATGTGCTAAGCATCTGGAACAGCTGTAGCTGGCCGCTTGACTGATGCAGACTTGATTAAATGGTTGTAGCTGCCTTTCTCCTTGAAAAGCTGCGAGAAATGAGGTTTGCAGTACAAAATACCATCCAGTGCAGCATAATTTGAGGGAGACAGAGAACACCCACCATGAGAACACTTGAAACATGACTTGTGATAGCTTTGGTTCTCCACTGTAACCTGAAAAGTTTCGTGCCAAAATCAATGCTATATAATAAAATTATGTCACGTTGCTTAAGCTAAACTAAACAAGACAGTTCGAGCAGCGTCAATGTAACATAAATGCATCTCTAGTATTAGTATAACATTATGAGAAATAACAATGGCAACAATAGCTGTAATCTAGTACATAAGCTGATTAACAAGAAGTTAAACATACAACATACAAGCACATATCTAGGACAAGAACAGTCGGCATGACTCGAGACATCCAAATCTAATGGATACCTCCACATTTAGTTACTGTGAAACGGCTTCACCTAGATCATCAACCGTCCAGTAATAGAGGTACCAATAGTTCGGCATGTGTGCATATA